AAAAAGCTATGTGTTTGTAAGAAACAAATCCATCATTATGACATTTTAAACGGTCACCTCCTGGCCAAAATCCATAATAACGCTTAAAAGTCCATCTCCTGTAGTGCCGTTTTGGCTTGTAAACGGTGCTTGATCTGTGCAGATTTCTCTACGGATTCAGATGTCTTATATATATAGATATTTAGATATAGATATATAGATATTTTTTTTATAACTAGAAAAAGCGTTATTATGGACTTAAAGATGGATTTGTTTCTTACAAACACGCAGCTTTTCACTGTACAAGATGTTAACTGATGGACTGGAGTGGTGTGGATTACTTGTGGATTATTGTGATGTTTTTATCAGCTGTTTGGACTCTCATTCTGACGGCACCCATTCACTGCAGAGCATCCATTGCTGAGACACTGATGCAATGCTACATTTCTCCAAATCTGATGAAGAAACAAACTCATCCTGATCTTGGGTGGCCTGAGGGGAGTACATTTTCAGCAAATCTTCATTTTTAGCGAACTATTGCTTTCAACCCCGAACGTACCTGCAGCTTCCCGTTCAAACAAAAGCTTGGTGTGATTTATTTTAGATTTATATGAATTATTGTGAGAGTCATTTGCAATTTTTTGAAAGTATCCCATTTTTGTGGAGCCAAATTTTGCCATGGGTGATTTTCACAGAAACTTTTGAGAAACTTCCAGGTCATATTTCACTACAAAAATCAAAAGAAAAAAGCAATGCAATTTAAGAAATAAAATAAATTTGCAAAGTGCAATTGAAAGTGTTTGTTGTACTGAATTTAATTTATTGTTTGCAGAAAGGACGAAGTATTACTGAATTTCAGTAATGAGGATGAGATTTCTTTCACATGATAGTAATGAGAATTTGAGGGCAAATAGTTGCTTAATTGTTATGGGGAAAAGGCAGAATAGTTTAATTGTCCCAGAATATGCTACAGTATAAAATTTATTAATATATTTTTTCTTTTGATTTTGGGTTGAAATATGATCAGAAATGTTTTTGGTACATGACTGGTGACTGACTGGTGCCTAAAACAATAGCAGTGTGTCCTTGTTGGGCTTTGGTTAAACTGTAAAATAAACTATTTTTTGTTGTGAAGGACAATCACTTTTTCACATTATCCCGTGCATCGGAATATCATGGAACATTAATTCCAAAACAGAACATATCCACAGTTTGAGTTCCTTCACCACAGCATTTATCCATCAATACTATGAATGAGGTAAAAGTCATTTAAGTGTTTTGGAGTACATGGTTGTAGAAGCACAATGTCTGTCTCAAGCCTCTTCATAATTCATGTCGAGTTTTGTTGGTTTAGATTTAGACGAACTGCTGCGATGTTTGAGGTTTGCTCGTGTGAAGGGACAATGATCAGTGTTCATCTGAACTGGAAAACTGAACTTCAAGACAGGAAAGCTGAAAACTGGACTGTAAAAGCCCTTCCCAGAGCTGCTTTTTGGAATACATGTATATTAATAGCAGAAATTGTTTATATTGCTGATTTTAAGTGTTATTTACTTTTAACCACATTGCATTTGAAGCTAGTAAAACTGCTGTTTACCCCGGATGTTTCTCATGTGTTTCGGTTGTGTAGGCATCGCTGCCGCCATCATGAGTGCGTGTTCTGATGATATACAGCTGTCAGAAGAGCTCAATTATATCCCATTGTAAACAACTATATTTTTCTTTCAGAAAATAAATATTTTAAATTCTTAAAATAATGCTTTGTGTCTCTATCTTTTGCATGGTTTAAGTGCCTTTTTATATATATATATATATATACAATATAGATATAATGGCATTGACACATTTCCTTTACAGCAAAGCAATGTTATTTTAGGATTATATATAGTGCAATTTAATTATATGTATGATAAGTATATTATAAATAATATACTGTAATTTGTAATTAGCTTTGATTTTTATATATTCAGTTTATCCTAATTGAACGTTTTATTAATATTATTTGATTGGCGTTTTAATTCTTTTTTTTTTTTTTTGCTTTATTTCAGCTTTTCTTTCATTTATTTTAGTTTGTCATTTTAATACTTATAATACTTTTATATATTAAACAATTTTTGACAATTCTTGTATTAGTAAAAATATGACTACATATGGGTAGTTGACAAATATACCGTAAATGTGTCCTATGGTGTGACAGCAAAAACTAACGATGAAGAAAAATCTCTTATGCTATTAGTATATTATTAACAAGAAATTAATTATTAATAATAATTAATTATTATTTTCTAAATTTTGCTGTTTCACATGTATGGTATATGTCAACAACCCATATACATATAAATACTAAAATATTATACTGATTCTGCAAATCAAGTCATTTTATTGGTTTATTTACAATTTAAGTAAATGTTTCATTTCATTTATATCTCCAATGTATCCCAGCAGCCACTAGAGGGCAGCATGTTTCATGTGATGCTTTTGTGGATGCTTCAAAATGCATTGTCGGAATAATCTTAAAGAACATGAATGGATTTTAACCCTTTGATGCACAACATGGGTCTAAAGTGACCCGACTGAGTTAATTCTTTTATATATATTTGCAAGAAATTAACTTCATCATTCAGAATTCCAGGAATGCCTTTAGGTTGACAAATTGAATTTATATAAACTGCAGGGTCTTTTTCATCAACTCTTTTGGTTCTAGTTTTTTCTTCATTTGTTGTTTGCTCTTCTAGAGAGATATGACTCATTTTATGTGTCAGCATAACCTTAGTACATAATTCTGACCATTTTTCTGGTAATGTTGGCAAGAGGCCTTATTCTAATTCACATATCCACCATATGTCTGCCAATGCAATATCAATTTCATCAAATATAGGTGGTGGACCTTCTTTTATCCCCAAATAGTCATCTACATTGTGGTATTTTCCATGTGTTGATGCATTTCCCTTCAAATCTTCCTACGTCAATATTTCCCTTCTTCTCATAACATTCATATTCTTGATCTGCCATTAAGTGTATTTTTCCTTGTGGCTTTTGTATTTTTTTTCTTTTCGTACTATTGGCCATTTACGGGTACGTACTGTATTTCAGTTGCTTCTCTGTAGTTTGTTGTAGACTGGAGAAACTGGCGCTAGTATGGGCATAATGCCATTTTTGGGGTACAATTACTAAAGGTATTTATGTCTCTGCCTCTTTCTAGTAAGCATTTACCTCCCAGTTTTAATCTAAATCCATTAGTTCTGGACATTTCTTAAACCAGGGGTTTTCAAACTGTGGGTCGCAGAGTGGGACAAGGTGGGTCGCTCAAAGTCACTTGGCTGTAGCTAAATTTGCATTTCTATGACACGCACGCACATACTCACACACAGTTCAGTCAAGGGCTACACATATACCAACATTAATTGCGATATTGCTTTGTTCGATTTTCGAATCACAAAGGCCGCAATTTAAAACATGCGTTGTGTGTTTTGAAATAGGGGCACACACTAGTTGTAACAACAGCGAGAGTGTGACGGTTCATTATTAAGAGGAGACTCATCTGTAAATGAAGAAATTAAAACAAATATTATTAGTGAAAATTTACAGTTGTACTATAACATAAAATGGTTATTTTTCTTAAATATTTCTGCCATATTAAACTTTTAATTAAGATTAAGCTTACAGTAATGTCAATTGTTTTGTTTTTTAAATCTCAAATATTTTGGTGGGTCTTGAAATATTATACTTGTTTAGGTGGGTCGTGGAATGGAAAAGTTTGAGAACCCTGGTCTTAAACCATTCATCATGAAATATTCTACAACTTGAACTGTGTACGAGTATTGGTACAATATATAAGACTGATCTTGCTTCAAAGCAAACTATGCAGTTTTCCCATTTTTCTTTTTCTGCTGTGTAATTTACCCATGTATACCAATTATTTTCTTCTACCTTCTCCCATAAAACATTTGAATTGCTTATTTTCTTCGAACTCATATTATGATTATCATCTACAATGTGTCAATTTTGCCTAGATATGTTTTGTTTTGTTTCCTGTCCAATTCTTGTTCTTCTTGAATTAAGTCAAAGCCACTGCTGGATTCAACCGAGGGTTGACGAGTTGATTCTAGGGAAGTCTGGGTGCTGTTGGCTACAGCTTGAGCTTGTAGAATTAGATGCATTAGGCATGTGATGATCAT